AACGGGTAACATTTGTAATTTTTTTTATTATCACGAATTTTCAATACTACAGAGTAAATGTGGTTTGTCTCGCTGTCCATTGATGAAACCTTTATAAAACTAAGTATACTACATTCTGGTGTACATGATTACGGCAGAACATATTCTGCATGTCCTACTATCAGATCCTATCAAGAAAGTGAACAATAATGTTCTTTCATTCACTTGTACTTGCAAATTTAAGTAGCGCCCATCGGTGCTTCTCTCCAGAACGTGCGCCCTACTCTTTTCATCATTCCTTTTTCTTTTCCAATTCCTCCTCTTCATCGTCTCCAAGAATTGCCTCAGCTGCGAACCTGCGAAAATGAAGCTATACAAAATTAGAGTGAAAGCGAATAATTGTAAAAAAAAACTTCTGCTTTGTTGTCACCTACCATCCAATAAGTGGACTCAACCAGTAAACCAGCAAATGTCCGACATGAGTCAGTCCTTCACAATTGAATGTACAGGCCCATGCAACCAATGGATTTGCGTACATTCCCGTGTAATTGATACCTATAGGAATTCAATCTACAATCTTTGAACTTGGAACCAAAGAACCTTATTTCAAGATGAACAAGAAATTTCTCTACTTGCTTACCTATAGCACAAAGAAATCCACTGAACACGCATGTGACAATATTTGACAATCGCGTGTCCTCCAGATAGTCATTAGTATATTTGTCAAACACTTTTGCTAAAATGTATTGTTCGCTACATACTGAATATTGCTACCGTATAACGAACCTATAAATGTTGCACCACCTTCCACCAAACAACCAGTTGTGACAGCAATCTAAATCCGAAAAGAGACTATTAAAGATTTACCTTATGAATAAAAATGCATTTCAATGATGATACATAAACCTCAAAAAGTTGTGCAGATGAAGCTCGAATCGAGATGGAATTAAGAAAAGAAGAATGAGACTTTTGATAAATAATCTTATGTTAAGATTGAGAAAATTTAATAAGTAGTTTTTCTGTAGGATTTTACTGGAGAAAAAAAGCCCTGCGAACGCGGACCTCACCTTATAAAGATAAACCAAGAGCTGCCACATTTAATGCATTTTAACAATAAATCATCATTTTTTTTAACGATGCGAAGATTCTAAATTTTACTAACTGTATTGAGTAAATAGATACTTTGACAGCTGTGATCAAGTTATTTTATAATATTGATGCTTTTCTAGCTGCAAGAACTGCCGTACAAATTATTTTCTAGAGATCTTCTTAGAAAGCCAGTTAATCGTTTGGCTCATCCCATGCAGCAAATGCATTGCGGCATACTATTTGGGATCCGCAAGTGCTAATCCGGAAGCAGAGACGCTTTTCTCTGCAATTGCTACAGAATATCGCATGGATGCTAAATATGGGATTCAGACTAAGAAGTAAACCTTCCTCGCTTTAGCTAATATTTATATCGGTAACAGCGATATTTGAAGTTTTAAGACTAATGAGATTATTTTGTATGAGCAGTGTACTAGACATTTAGATGTTGAAAAGTGGAAATCTAACCGTCAGGTCCGCTGTGCAATGTTCGACGGCCAGGAGTTCAGAGTGAACTGGATGTATGCCCAACTTCCAGAATGTTCTTGCCAGAAAAAACGATAAGTAAGCAGCCAACATTTGAGTTAGAAAAACATAAACGGCACGTCGGATTGCTTTTGAGCGCCGATAGCATGAAGTGACCTGAAGAAACAACACTCATTGAACAGAGGAAGAAAAGCTGCGAATAGGTTTAAACATACAATTGGGCAAGGATTGGCAACTGCATCCCTTTGATAATAGCAATTAGCAAGCTCAATAACAGTTATCTCAACGAAAACTCCAAATAGACCGTATGTTTCCAAAACTGTGCCGACATCGAACATTGGAGTGCATATTTGGAGTGTACCCACAAACTAAAAGAAATACAACAAGCCGTATTCACTAATTCCAAAAATCTCAGGTAAAATCTTTAAAAATTTATAAGTCTTACTTCTAAAAGCAGATCCGTTGATAATCGCTTCGGCAGTATTTTTAAAATTAGATATCGAAGAAATTCACAAACAGCA